GTGAAACTGTGTTTTTCAACATTAACAGAATATCGACAAAGTTTTGCGCACATTTGTAATGGAAACACAGCTAATGAGATGTTTAATATATGATGGAGTTTGGAGTTCTGAACCAACCACACTTTTTATGTTATTTTATAAGTTCACACCTAATAACAMTTGATGTAAAAGTGCAGTTAACAGCTAAAATACTGTTTCTGATTATAGGAGTGGCTGTGGCCYGTTGGCTACTTCCTGCGGGCTAAACTCTACTTTGCCAAGAAGCTGGGAGAGGAGACCTACGCCATGACAGTCACACTAGTGAAGAATGTTCTGTCCAGACATTACACTCATCTGGAGAGGTGGGCTRTTCACATCATCACATGACATCCATAATGAAGCAGTGGGTTTTCTGATCACCTGTCCCATCTTCTGCTGCCTCAGGTCCCCATGGAAGGGTCTACCAGAGCTGACCAATGAGAACGGCCAGTACTGCCCTTTCAGCTGTGAGACCCAGGCCTGGTCTCTGGCTACTGTGCTGGAGGTCCTCTATGACCTTTAGAGGGGCCAGGAAACTGCTCCTGTCCCTCACTGGAAGACTTCAGCATGTCCTGTCWGAACAGCTGTTTCACTGTTCTGTTAGTGGACGATTGAGAGTCAGAAWTAATTAATATTACTAATACACTGTAACTGTTAASTTTTGGTCCTAAAATTAGCCAGCTKTGAGCCTTMAAGGCRCAACATAAAAAATACAATTTGACACCTAAATAGTGTTTTTTTTCCATTGAAATAGTTTCCAGTTCCCCTGAACCTTCTGATGACWATAAATCCAACGAGTTTTAAAAAACAAAGCAACTGGACATCTGTTCTGTAGCTGAAAATATTTTCAATCAATGAATCTCTGCAGATGTGAAGCAGAATGTCTTCATCTACAACAGTGAAATCCAGCAGCTTTTTTAAAATGTCCTGTGTTGGATGACAGGATCTGCAGCAGTTCTCATGTAAACTCTCAGTCTGGTAGCATTAGAGTTGATGTTGCATGCTAATTTAGATTAGAGTGGAGCTGCTGTGTTCTGAAGTTTTTAATGCTAGTTTAAATACAACTGTATATCTGTTTACATGATTGCCATGCAGCTGATATACAATACAAATGTGTGACAAACGTAATAGGTGTTCTAAAAGAGAAGGAATCACAGTGTTGGTGGAAAGTCATCATTGTTTTTTTACCAGTCAAGCTTAACTTTTACCAGTTAGTTGTAAAATAACACGATCAGATCATATGTTCTCTTAGTGTTGGTCACTGGAAACTACTACAAGTCATGCTGTGCTCTGCTTTAAACCAGTGATGCTGAATAAACTGTGACATGACTACAGGCTGGCTTTTCTTTGTCTTATTGCACGACTTAATACTGAAACTAGATACCGCATAGCAGTAACATAATGACCCCCGCAGACAGAAATGCACCAGAACGCAGAAGTCTTTATTCCTAATAAATTTCATGCTACTCGCCACTCTTATTCGCAATCGCGATTGAACCACTCGCAGTGGCTTTACGGAACAACCCTAAGATTAAAGGTATTAATCGGTTTGGC